TAATAAAATAAATTAAATATTGAAACAAAATTTTATATAAATGATATATTCATATGTAATTTTATTCTAACTGTATTTTGTTATTTATATATATATATATATATATATATATGTATATATATACGTATATTGGTAACAAAATACACTTAGAATGACATTCTATATATATCTATCTATATATAAAATACAAATAACCGCAAATATATATATATATATATATATATAGATAAATACATATAATTACATAAAAGATTACATTAGTATACACGTAGAATTTAAATACCTATAAATGCATATATTTTAAAATTCTACGTGTATATTTAAGTAATTTTTAACATAATTATGTGATTTGATTAATTAAAATTTGATTGACATGCCTGACAACACAGGGAGAAAGTGCAGAGAATTTAATTCACAAGCACTATATTTGACCCTGTAACTCTCCAAGACACCATAAAACCTCTACATAGGGGGTACTGTTTTACTCAGGAGACTTCGCTGAACTCAAATATTAGTGTTTCAAACTGGTAAATTGTATTACAACGGTGATATTTTAAGTAAAGGTGAGTTTTTTTGCATTTTTTACAAACAAACTGCACTTTTATGGACTATATTATTGTTGTAATATGTTTTACTGTGTTAAAACACTTATATTTGTGTTTAGTGAAGTCTCCCAAGAATAACAGTACCCCCCATGTACAGATTTTATGGTGTTTTGGATAGTTAGATAGTCATATATGAGGCTTGCATTTTATTTTTTTGACATTGAAATTTGCCAGACTGGTTATGTTGCCTTTGAGACCATATGGTAGCCCAGGAATAAGAATAGCCCCCATGATGGTATACCATTTGCAAAACAATACACCCCAACGTATTGCAAATGGGGTATGTGCAGTCATTTTTAGTAGCCACTTAGTCACAAACACTGGCCAAATATTAGTTTTTTGCTTTTTTCACACAAAAACAAATATACGCTAACTTTGGCCAGTGTTTGTGACTAAGTGGCTACTAAAAAAGACTAACCATACCCCACGTTCAATACCTTGGGTTGTCTACTTTTTCAAATGGTATGCCATTATGGGGGTAATTCTCATTCCTGGGCTACCATACCGTCTCAAAGGTAACATTACTAATCTGGCACATTTCAGTTTTAAAATGGAACGTTCTATATTTGACCCTGTAATTTTCCAAAACACCATAAAACCTGTTAATGGGGGTTACTGTTGTACTCATGAGACATCGCTGATTACAAATATGTGCATTTTTTCGCAGTAAAACCTAACAGTATTATGACATTTACAGCTAAAATGTGAGGCAGAACTACAAATTGTTTAAAAAACTTTAAATTTCTCACAGTTTTTTACATTTTATTCATAATACATTATGTTTAATATATAAATATTTGATATGAAATGAAATGTTTCTCCTGAACAAAATGATATATAATAGGTGTGGGTGCATTTAATATGAAAGAGGTGAATTACGGTTGAACAGACATATAGCGCAAATTCCAGTTTTTGTTTACGTTTTGTTTTGATCAGAACGTGTACTATTGACTCCGTTCTGAAGGGGTTAATTTTCACTTTGAATTACAAAGAAATAACAAATAATCTTTCATGTGTGACATTTAACTCCACCATGTGGCAAGGTAGGTCCTTCACCATACAGTGAGATTATTGCCTTAAAATAGGTTGTGCACTTTAACATTTAACCCCAGGGGAAGCACGTGTTGTATGTGTGGTGTGCAACACAAAGCTAAGTTTAGTTATGGGCCCCTGGGGTGGAGCATTTGGAGAGCAGGGTGGGCCAATGCTCCACTCCTCAGTTTATACACAAGTGGGAGAAATAGGGTCCAGGCCAGAGTTTTTTGGAACTGTCTCCAACCCACTGCTCAGCTGCAGATAATTAGCTGTAGCAGTGGGAATAAACCCCTCCCTGCTAGGCAAGTAAATGGGGATTGCTGGCTTCTTCCCTGGAATCAGGTAGGAGAGAGGTTGTTCTCTCCAGTGAGAGAGTCAAGGAGATTGAGCACTGGGAGAGCAAAAGGAAAGCAGTTAAGGCTGGCTTGGAGCACTGGGAGTGTAGAAAGGAAAGCAACAGGCTGACTTAGCACTGGAGTGCAGAGAGTTGACAAAGACACTAGGTTGGTGAAACCAATATTGTTTTGTTCTAGTTTAACCCCTGAGAGATAGGGAACCTGAAGTTAGTAAGTGCTCAGACGAGCTAGGTTTTTGTTTATAGGGATTTGTGTTCATTTGCTGCTCTCTCCTGTGTGGACTTACAAATAAAGTGCCTGGATTATATGCAAATAAAAGGACGGTGCCTGTTGTTTACCCTAGAGGACCGTGCTACCTGCAGACAAGGATCACACTACTGATAATTAGAGTTGAGCGAACCCAAACCGCAAAGTTCGAGTTCATACCGAACATTACGGTTTTTAGACCACGGACCCAAACACGGACATTTCAGTGTATGTTCGGATTGGAGTTCGGTGTTCGGCGATTTAATGGTGCCTTTTGAAAGGCTGCAGGGCAGCCAATCAACAAGTGTTTGACTCGTTTGCCCTTATAAGCCATCACAGGCATGTGACCAAGCCTCTATATATAAGCTGGAGTCGCGTAGCGCCACACGCACATGAGCTCTTATTAGTGTGGGGAGAGGATGCTACAGCTGTTAAGGACAGATTAGGAAAGAATTCTGGTGTTGAATCTGCAAACTACAGCGATTATTCAAACTACAGTGATTATTTTAGTGGGTGCTTTACTACATTTTTGTACCCTGCCCTGAGCCCAGTGCCACAGAGAGTGCAGTGCACTTGCAACTGCATGTGTGCCAGGCACATGACTTTAATCCTGTTCTGGTAGCTTAGTGGGCAACATCTAGGCATTTTTAAATACTGCAATTTTTTGGGTGCTAAATAGTACATTTGCGTACTGCACTTCTATCAGTCTAATAAAACCCTTAAATACTACTATTACATTGTTGGTTTAAAAAAATCACACTTTTTTGTGCTAAATAGTACATTTGCGTCCTGCGGTGCACTTCATATCTGAGAGTCAAATAGAACCGTCAAACACTGTGCTTACAGCGCAATTTGAAAAGTTCTAATAGTTTTGGGTGCTAATGCTAAATAGTACGTTTGCGTCCTGCGGTGCACTTCAAATTTGAGAGTCAAATAGAACTGTCAAACACTGTGCGTACAGCACACTTTGAAAAATTTAAATTGTTTTGGGTCATAAAAAGTAAATTTGAGGTGTGCACTTCATATCTGAGAGTCAAATAGAACCGTCAAATACTGTGCTTACAGCGCACTTTGAAAAATTCTAATAGTTTTGGGTGCTAAATAGTACATTTGCGTCCTACGGTGCACTTCATATCTGAGAGTCAAAAAGAACCGTCAAACACTGTGCTTACAGCGCACTTTTAAAAATTCAAATTGTTTTGGGTGATAAAAAGTAAATTAGGAGTGTGCACTTCATATCTGAGAGACAAATAAAACCGTAAAATACTGTGCTTACAGAGCACTTTGAAACATTCAAATGGTTTTGGGTGCTAATGCTAAATAATACATTTGCATCCTGCGGTGCACTTTATATCTGAGAGTCAAATAGAACCGTCAAACACTGTGCTTACAGCGCACTTTGAAAACGTCAAATTGTTTTGGGTGCTAATGCTAAATAGTACATTTGCGTCCTGCGGTGAACTTCATATCTGAGAGTCAAAAAGAACCGTCAAACACTGTGCTTACAGCGCACTTTTCAAAATTCTAATTGTTTTGGGTGCTAAATAGTACATTTGCGGCCTGCACTTCATATCTGACAGTCAAATCGAACCGTCAAACATTGTGCTTACAGCGCACTTTGAAAAATTCTAATTATTTTGGGTGATAAAAAGTAAATTTGGGGTGTGCACTTCATATCTGAGAGTCAAATAGAACCGTCAAACACTGTGCTTATAGCGCACTTTGAAAAATTCAAATTGTTTTGGGTGCTAATGCTAAATAGTACATTTGCGTCCTGCAGAGTACTTCATATCTAAGTCAAATAGAACCGCCAAACACTGTGCTTACAGCGCACTTTGAAACATTCAAAATGTTTTGGGTGATAAAAAGTAAATTTGGGGTGTGCACTTCATATCTGAGAGTCAAACAGAATAGTCAAACACTGTGCTTACAGGGCACTCTGAAAAATTCAAATAGTTTTGGGTGCTAATACTAAATAATACATTTGCGTCCTGCGGTGCACTTCATATCTGAAAGTCATATAAAACCATCAAATACTGTGCTTACCAGCACAGCATAAAAGGGAGCAGGGTGCAAAAGCGGAGCGGCCGTACCCTAGCGCTCGTCAGCATGTATGAGCTCGAGAATAACCACAGTTATCCAAGTAACAGATGGAGCGATCAAAAGATCCATAATAGAGTTGAGCGAACATAATAGAGTTCGTACCAGATTTAACGAGCCTGTCTGGGCAGCGGTCGGACGACCGGGACCCAGTATGCCTGATGTTGAAGTTAGGAGTCACAGTGTGGAATGGGTTAGCAGGGTCTGGTGCAGGGTAACCGCACGCCCCCTGGTGTTGAGCACCAGTGTTTGTGCGGCCACATACCAGGACCCTGATGCAGCTTCAGTAAAAAGAGTACTGGATACCAGAAGCCATCACCAGACTGATCCGCAACTTGGAACAGGATGTGACATTCACTGTAGCAGCTGTGCGTGCTTTTGGTGTTCTCACCCTGCTGCTGCTTGCCTGTCTGCGCTGCAGCGTAACTTTGGCCTTCCCGCTCACCACCTCATATGCATCGTGCCCACAAGGTGGAACTCCACCTAGCACATGCTGGAGAGACTGTGCGAGCAGCAGCAGGCGATAGTGGAGTTTCAGCTGCAGCACGCACAGGTCAGTCACTCTGCACCAGACTTGCCCTCCAATTGATCCTAGTTAAAGGATTTCAAGTGGACTCATTACAATTACAGGGCCTCTAAAGAGTCCTGTATTGTTATTTGTCGTCACTACCTCCCCGCGTAGGAAGTGGGTAATTTGCACGCCTGCAGACTTCCTTGGATGTGGTAGCCGTTTCTTAGGATCCCTCTACGGAATCGAACCCTGATTCCCCATTACCCGTGGTCACCATGGTAGGCGCAGAAAGTCCATCGAAATTTGATAGGGCAGACATCCGAATGCGTCGTCGCCATCACAGGGACGTGCGATTGGCCCGAGGTTCTCTAGAGTCTCCAAAGTGCCTGCGCAACTATAATGTCGACAGCTACTCTGCCTAATGGATCTTCACGAATAGGTAGGGGATGGAGGGGGACCCTGTGCTGGGCCCTTCTCTTCCCCACTCTCTGGCAGACATCTGGCAGTACTGCCTCAGATCCTGAGAGATGCCTGGCCAGAAGAAGCTGTGGGTGAGCCGAGACGCTGTCTGGCACCTGCCCAAATGCCCTGCCAAGGGGATATCTTGAATTAGCTTCAGCAGCTCATACCAGTACTTCTTGGGTCTGGGGCTTGCAGTCTCTCACCAGCCGTGTCGTTGGGCAGCTCATTGAAAAAGTGCTTTAGCATGACGAGATGGGTGATCTCCTCCGGGATCTTGGCTTGATGGGAGTTGAGCTAGTTCTGGGTGGCCCTTGTGGTGC